TTGAACCGATGTTTTGTTCTGTAATGGAAATTTTAAATCTTGGTATATCAGCTTTATTATTATTCCTAAGCTTACGTGTTTACGCCACATCAAAGCTACTTAGAGATTACGTCACCCGGATGTGTAGCTGATACTGAAACATTCATTATAATTCTGATATCAAAATGACACCATGCATATTTATCTACTGCTTGATTTATTAAGGTATGCATCCTGAGGAAATATGTTTTGTTATAAATACATTTAAGTCAATGTCGGTATGTTATGAGATTGATCCATTGTTCATACTACGTTCATCATTCAGGCAGAAACTGCGTTTCCTTTAAAACGCCTTCTGTAAAGCACTTTGATTTTGCCAACATAACATACCAATAGGACATACATAAAATCTATGACAATAGGACATACATATTTTTATATTGTTTTCTTCTGGTTGTTTGTTATGAGTTTGCTTTATCAAAAAACATACAATTCTGGTTATAACAGAATATTGGACACTGCGTGTACATATAGCGTTATAAACCTGTTACTTCGTAATTGTTTTACATAGACATTTTGAAACGTTAACAGACATATTCAGTGAAACAGAATTTGTACTGATCAGGGGAAAGAGACAGGTATACATATACCTAATGGGCGTGTGTATATATAATGTATTAGTCATGGAACCGAAGCAGACTGACATCGAGTCAGACTTTACATAACGTACAGTTCTCCCAGGCTAACTAACGATAAAATGGTAATAAATGTCAACAAAACCCCACATTTGGACATTTGAGAGCAATCGAAGAATTGTCCCGAACGTCCTGTGTACTTTAACGTAAAATGCGCGATAGTGCACTATGTCTTAAGTACCGACCAGCCTCTCCATTGCCGTGTGAATATGACGTTTGTAGGTGGAATAGGTCTGGGCGAACAAAACGATGCACCCAATAAACTTGTCAGTATTTCAAAATATAGGTATTCTAATCCGGGTTAACTTGTTTGAGTGAAATTTTGTTGGTTGCGGTGCATGCGCAATATATATATAAACACTTACTGATATTTTGGAATTAAATGAAAACATTCTTTTCATCCGGTTACCCTGATGTAGTTAGTGGTTTCCATAATGACTGTGGTTTTGCTCGTTTTATCACTGTTCCTTCCCCTACTTCTGTTGTAAAACATTTCCTTGTTGCACAGAATTAAACTCATATACCTTATAAGATGTAAGAGGTATTTTAAAAATAAATGTTGTATTTCAGTTTACAAGCCAATTTAAATTTTAAGATTAAGAGCTACAACAAATCCTTTGATTTATACTTGGTATTTTAAAAAGGGAGAGAAAGTAGAATCGGATTTTAAATACATTTACAGCTGTTTTACTGGAATGAATGACTTACTTATTTTAACATGACCGCTTTATTCATATTGCGTATTTTAAATATATATTAACACTTCGTTTTGTCTTTAGTGCTGCAATAGTATTCGTTTGGCATTATATTATGGATAACCACTTTTGGTACAATCGTTTTGATAAACACATATACATTTTGTATTGCTAAAACAATTACCCCTACCGATAACACTTTACTACAATACTGTTCAATTGCAGCAGTATACTCATAAACTCCCACATTTTTTGTTGAATACCCATCATGTCCGAAATTATTGTTTTATCCCCAAATGACCACCCCAGTTGATAAATGCCTTCCCCAATTATGGTATTACTGACCACAGTGAGATCAAAGGTAAACGTCAGAGAAATATGTGAACATGCTTTGGCCTTTGTGTTTTGTTTGCATTGTTTTACATTTCTGTATCATTGTCATGACCTTCTTGAAGATATTTGCCTCATTAAGAAATCTTAATGTTCACAATAGCTGACCATATGCCGACGGTAAACCCCCAAGGATGTAGCTTGTGTATGCTTTAGTGGCTCTATAGCTGCACACTGAAGAGATCGTTTTCAAATTAGCAATGTTATTTGGCTGCTGTGCCTGACTCGGCGTGGCACGAGTCGCTGACTTTTGTGTGTGGTCATTTAATCCTTTGGTGTGAAATAGATTATTCAAGTAGTGTTAATAACGACACAATAGCCCTTACCGGATACATAGAACGTCTGTCAAGTGATCATCCCAGTGTGGAGAGGAGTTTCCAATATCTCCAGTTCAATACACCTGCTCACCAGAAGAAACATCGCCAGTGACACAATATATTAAATTGGAACCCATTCAGCCAGTATTTGCGGGTGAATTTGCAGCAATAAGGGATCTAATTATTTTACCGCCGATCATAATGAAGAGTCTCTTGATTGCAGAAGAACATATTGGAAACACAATGAGTTTGATTAAAACGGCAATAATGACAAATTTTAGAATTTGATCAATCGGACTGGCAGCCCGAGTAGGGACGGCGTAAATAAGGAAAACACTGGACATTTAATTTGTACATTATACAAGACAATAGAAGGCGAGCTTTCTTCAATAATAGACCCAAATCACCAGATTTTATTGACTGCCTCGACTGTAATAAATTAGATTTAGTTTAAGAAAAGCTGTTGAAGTGCGGTATAAAAAAATCTTATTTATGTATAAATGTTGCACGATATCAATATGTTTTATAAGAAACGTCTGTGAAACATCATCATATATTTGTATATAAGGTAATATTTTTACTACACGATTGCTATAGGCAAGGTAATTTTAATTCAGATATAATTCATTGTATTCATAAAAAGGTAGTTAACCCATCTCTCATATAAACAATATATTGGTTGATTTTGATGGAATGACCATGAACGTTTTAGCTTAACGATACATAATTAATGACGCGATGGTTAATTGATATAGATACACATTTATTCTAAATATTATAATGCTCGGGAATCTGCGCCAGTCCAATTTGTTGATTTAAACAACTAGCTAAATAGACTTTCTTTTGCATTTAGGTACATTTACATATAATTCGGAATAAATCACAGCCTGCACAACATTATAATGCATCACGTAAATCTGGTAAAGACTAAGTTGTCCGATGCAGATATATTACTTCTAGGACATGAGATACATGTACATGTATATATATTTTCCAGTAAAATAACATCATGCACACAACTTGTATAGATGAATCTATTGTCCTGTGAAATTATCTCTACCTCTATGTAAAGACTAAAATATGTTTGTTAAGGTACGTCAAACACATCTTGTAAAGACTAGAATATGTTTGTTAAGGTACGCCATACACGCCTTATAAAGACTAGAATATGTTTGTTAATGTACGCCACACACGCCTTATAAAGACTAGAATATGTTTGTTAATGTACGCAATACACGTCTTGTAAAGACTAGAATATGTTTGTTAATGTACGCCATACACGCCTTATAAAGACTAGAATATGTTTGTTAAGATACGCCATACACGCCTTATAAAGACTAGAATATGTTTGTTAAGGTACGCCATACACGCCTTATAAAGACTAGAATATGTTTGTTAATGTACGCCATACACGCCTTATAAAGACTAGAATATGTATGATAATGTACGCCATACACGCCTTGTAAAGACTAGAATATGTTTGTTAAGGTACGCCATACACGTCTTGTAAAGACGAGAATGTGTTTGTTAAGGTACGCCATACACGTCTTGTAAAGACTAGAATATGTTTGTTAAGGTACGCCATACACCTCTTGTAAAGACTAGAATCTGTTTGTTAAGGTACGCAATACACGTCTTGTAAAGACTAGAATATGTTTGTTAAGGTACGCCATACACCTCTTGTAAAGACTAGAATATGTTTGTTAATGTACGCCATACACGTCTTGTAAAGACTAGAATATGTTTGTTAAGGTACGCCATACATGTCTTGTAAAGAGTAGAATTGTTAACGTTGAAATGTAAAGTTACGTCATACACGACTCGTAAAGCCTAGAATTGGTAACGTTGACATATAAAGTTACGTCATACACTACTCGTAAAGAATAGTATATTTATCCTGTGAGGTAACAATATCAGCGACTTGTAAAAGATGAACGTAGCACCTTTGAATTTTGCTTTAGATAATGCATGCCAAACACACTGAATCCTTTGGCTGTTTTGTCTTTCTATGAATTATCGGTGATGCTAGGGCCAAAAGTTGGAAATCCAAATTGTCCGAACTGTTGTGGAAACATAGAATATTTGTGCTATAAAGTTACAATATACACGACTTGTAATGTCCAGAAAATGTTTCCATTACAGTAACGTCATGCACGACTTATCAAGACTAGTTTATTTGACATGCAAAGTTACGTCAATAAAAGCTAAAAATACAATTCCCCACGGACTTACTTCAATCTTGTTTTCACTATGAACATGTGTTGTTATATAGTTATACAAACTCCAGCCCCCAATTGCCATTGAAGCGGACCACTAGGATGTTCGTGTGGTAATTACCCTCAAAGTGACATTTATTAGAAGATTATTTAAGCCTAACATTGATAAATCTCGTTTAGGGATGAGTACAATGAATTGAAGCATTTATCATAAAATTATACGATAATGTTTAGCACGTGAACTTTTGACAACACTACAGTTTCACGTTGTACGATTTTATCATGTCAAAATATCAATTATTACGGTGGAGGGAAATATCACGGTAATTTGAATACCGTATGGCATAATTTATCATCGTCCATCTCAGTAAAGCAATCTAACCCTGACATTTCACGACAACTAGCCCTAGACGCAAGCGGAAGTCAGTCATGTGACTAAACATACTTCGAGGTATGACGGGAAATCGACTTAAAGTCCTCTTTATATTAATAGAAATCAATTTCCAAAAGGTGTTTTAATTTTTCGCAGGAAGTTGTCCGTCTTTTCTTTCCCAAGAAAAAAAGATCAAGTATCAGAAATACAATTAACCTCTTCTGTCATTTAAACTGATGCCAAATAAACATGGAAGTTTGTCCACGTGATCGATGTCAACGTTGACGAGGCAAGGAAACACCACATAATAAAACAATGGTTTCAGAGGCCGGCCGTCCGCGTGGTGTACTGTGTTATCTGGAGAATCGCCATGCTTTATCAGGCAACGTATTGTTAATCCATACTTTGTTAATTTCATTAAATAATTCTTTTACGAAGTAACGAAACACACTTCAGACTCAAACTATAGACACAGGAAGTAACAATAAATCAGCGAACACACAATGGAGTAAGCGTGTTTGTGCTTCCTAATGTACAAACCGAGAGAATAGACGAGGTTTGGAATTAGGGAAGCGACCCGATACATTATTTTAAATGTTTACAGTGATAAACACGCGGAAAAGACGGCACTATATCTATCGTTACAAAGAACTTGTCGATTCCCATAGACTTCAATCGGCTTTACAAAGATCAAAGAGATTTTTATAGGAGCTATTAACATTTTCTTTATTTTTCCATTTTTCTAAAAAACTTTGTATGTTACCAATTGTTAAACCTGTAGCTTACTTTTAATTATCGGTGATGTTCTTTGACTTTGGTTAAGTTTTGATCAATGTAGAATAGAAAACAGAATAATGCCGCAGAACCAACATACAACGGTAAATTGTCAGAGTCAAAAAACAAAATTAATGAACAACAACAGGTACTGAGAAGACACGGAAAACAAACGGAAAAACAACAGAAACTCGGAATACAGTGGAGAGCAACAACAGAAAATGAGAATAGAGGGAATGTGCAAAAAGGAAGACGACAACAAAAACTGAAGATAAAGAGAGAGAACAAAAAGGAGGAAGACAAAAGAAAATGAGGATACATTGATAACAAAGGTAGCGGAATTATGAATACGCTTTTTACCTTTTATCATTAACATATATCTGTATACACATGGGTTGTTATTTCATTTGATTTCTTGATGTGTTCTTATATAAGTATATATGTATGTGTTTAAACTCAATATACATACAAGAATTTTTTTTTTAAAAGATAGTGCCAGGATCTGACCGATATGTTGAGGGGAGGAGTGAAGTAGCCAAACAAACATCCTTAGCGATGGAGGTAATGTAACATTGTAATCCTTCATCTCACAGCAGCTCAAGTCTGTAGCAACAAAACATCGATATCCCAGTCTCCCCGGCCACACATTTCTCTTGGTTATCTATGGTTTTTAGCATGAACCAGACACACATACTCCAAAAGGATATATACATGTTTATATCTTCTTAGAAAATCGATATAAGGAAAGCTGTTGACCGTAATGAGATTCTATGTATGGCCTGTTTAGGGAGCTGTATCACAGTACCGTGTAACATAGACCAAGTTCAGACATACGGGTTCTACGGAATACAGGAGAGAGAAGAAGTGGCAGAGTTGAATATAAATGTGCTGAATGCGTACTAAAATGATATTTACATTGTTGTAATGATATTGTTTATAACACAATAGATAGATAGATTACATCTTTAAAATATTGTCTTCACTGCGTATTTGATAAAGCACTCTTTGTCTTTATTGTAAAAAGATAAATAGACATGAGTAAAAACCAATTATATACACATGGTACACAAATCATTGCACAACAGACAATAAAGTAAAACAGTCTGACCAATGCCATAGACCGCGTATGGTATACAACGTAATATTCAAAACAACATATGTAAAGTAACATTTTTATAATAACTTGAACACATAATAGCATATCGAAGTTACATATTCAAAGAAATGTGTACAAAATTGCATATACAATATAGCATACTAATATTAATATGTAAGTGTAAACCTTTGAATATGTTATTGTCAAAAGAACAAAAGCTGGCACGAAAATTCAACAATGTCAATCAAGGAAAGGTCCATGGAAAGAGGAAACAAACGAACCCTTCAACAAAGCAACAAAATTTGAAACGAAACCAGCAGCACTTGGAGGGTAAGTTACTTCGACATAATTATGTTAGGTGGTGTAACCTTACGGATGACAAAGTATTTTTAAAGCCATGTTAACATATCCAAACAAGCTGCTCCTGTAGGGTAAGTGTGTCCTCTAACAGATTTTTGTTTTACAATGTTGTACGACATCGCCGTACATAAAACCTCATATTCTTTGTTGACATATGTTTATCCGGTCTTACAGGGTGTGTTTGTAAGATAAAGCTACGAACTGCTTAACTTATCGATAGAGATATGCCAAATTTTCTAAATTATTGTAATACTGCATGTAATCAGGAACGTGTCAAACAATAGTAAGAATAAGTAAAGGTTGGTACACGGTTTAGCCCTAAACATATGGTTGTTAGTATTCGCAAATAAAAGAAAGGTGATTAACAAAACAACATAAATTGGGTAGTACTTTAGAAATGTCCTCCCTCACTAACATATAAAGCAACTTAGGGTAAGATAATATTTTACCTTTTTTTATGTTAAAAGTTTCTTTTTTGAAGAGGTGCTTCATTTCTTCGTAATTCCAATATTATTTTATATATTATTTGTTTAAGTCAAAACTAATTTATGTTAGACATGGTATCATAAGTCAGTCTAGATGGAAATGATTTCGCTGTGGAATACTTCAGAAATTACTTTCTGTAACATCTATATATATCTGTATCTATATGGGGCAAAGAAGTAATTCCACCAGTGTGGACAAGATTAGGTTGTATCTGTATCTATATGAATGCCTACTCCGCCAAAAACTCATCGCAAATTTAGAGTTGAACAAGGCCATCATAAGATGACAATTTATTATAAATGACATCATGACAACTATGAAAATGATGTTTATGGTCAATATATATATATATATATATATATATATAACACAAAACAAACAATATTAATGGTTGGCATGTAAGGGTAGGCTTTTCAATGAGGCAAATTTGGTATAAATTTCTGAAAAGAGGCTGCCACAAAATGGCGTCGTTGATTTTTTTTCTTAAAAATGAAGAAAGAGGCCTTCAGTCAATCAGATTGCAGCGGGGGATGTTAGCCAATCAAAAACCTCAAAACAACGGAGAGGCACCAAGAAGGGGATGAGGCACCCTAAGGGGCCTATTTTAGTAGCAATCTTTTAACAATAAATGTACCTGTCAAAAGTCTAATGGAGGGGTTATGTGTCGCGACATAAAATCAGCTATGTATATAGCTTGCATTTATGCCTACTCCACATAAAACGCATCGCAAATATAGAATTGAACAAGGCCATCATAAGATGACAATTCATTATAAATGACATCATGACACAAACTATGAAAATGATGTTTACTGTCAATTTACATCCTTAGGTGAGGATTCGAAAGAATAACGCCACAAGGTGAACTATAGAACAAAACACATTTGAATTTGTTTGTGACGTCATAAACAAAGTGCACATAATGCGGATATCTAGAAATTGAGACGTCTTAAAATGATTTCAATGAATGTAGTTACAGTAAATGCGTCAATGATATACACGGAAAAAGAAAAAGAGCCTATTGCTAATGCTCATACGCATGCATCGTTCAAGAGTAAACATTAAAAACATTTGATAGTAAATATCAATCTCAAACACCTGGTTAATCCAAACATATCAAACATACGGAATTTTTGAATTTAAACTTTTAAGAGGTGATCGCCCGAATTAAGACCCGGTTTTAGAATTTTAATAAGCATGTTCTCTTTTAATTCTGTTTCAAAAGTATCTGATGTATTCATTTGATAAATTGGTAAAACTTCAAACTGATCATTTGAACACTCATGAAAATGTTTGTTAATTAATAAATTTCGTAAACTCTCAGTTTTGATTTGTTGGCGATGGAATGCCATTCTTTGACAGTTCATTACCAGTTTGACCTATATCTATATATACAAATATTTATACGATAAGGAATGTCATGCTACGATTTATATAAAGGTTTACAGGCAAACATAATAAGTTGTCACCGTATAGTTAGGGGTGCGTTATAAGAGCAATATATATATACATGTATATATAAATTAATATAAAAAAAAAATAAGTATCCAAGATTGAACGCTAAGCCTTTCTGCCTTCTTGGGCTTCTTCAGGCTGAATGATGTTTAAACTGATATGTTTATTATAATAATGGTTTATACATACACGTGTTAAGAGAAGTCCCAGGATCCTTATATCATAATTTGTTAGTTATAAGATTTAGGTATAAGGTTTCTAATATCACACATTTATAAATGAGTGAAGTAGGGGGTTTGCTAATACTGTGATAATTTAAGGCATACCAAACACGTCTTAATCATGTATTATATCGATAGAACGAAAAGGGAAAAAAGGTACATGCATTATTTAGTTACCTTGGTGTTATCTTACAATAGGATACTTCATATTTTTTCAAGAGGCGTCCAATCAAGTTTCGTATTACAATATATGCTAAGTTTAATCTACCAATCAGGTATTGTGTTACATCATTACGTGATGTAGTGAAATAACTCACGACCAATTAAGTATGTCGTGAGCGAATTAATTATGTGTTGCATACCTTATACCTGTGAGCAGCGACTTAGGTGTGTAGGTAATCAAACTGCACCTGTATTAGGCGCCTGGACGGTAATGATGCACCTCACGAAGGGTACAAACTAATAGATGTAAATAACGTCAAAGTTTAACATGGACTGCACACAAGATGTAAGGGGGCAAAGAAGTAGTCCATCAAACATATTTTACACACTTTCTTTTACCATAAACCTCATGATTTGTTGAATGAAAAAAGTCTATTTAGAAATTAAGTTGAATGTCATACACAAAATATGTATGTAGTGATAGACTTATGCTGGTTGACCCTAGGTTTCCGAGGAGTAGTGGATTCATCGATATGATTCATGGACATTCCATGTTACTCTATAAGCAATGTTGTATTTTTTTAATTATGATATAATAAAGAATGAACACTGATCCCAATCTTAATTTTCCTTCACTTGATTAGATATGTATGTAGCATTAATACATTTCTGTTACTTAACCTTTTGACCTCCAACCTTCCTAAATAATTCATCAATTAAAACAGGCAAATAACCAAATAATCTTCTGTTCTATATATGTGTATTACGAAACAAAACGTCGCTCAATGTATAAATGTATAACAAATTAGGTAACGTAGTATTGAACGGGGGTCTTGAAGATATGAACAGCAATTTAAAGGTCACACATTTCTCAATTTTACTCAATATTTATATTTTTGTGTTTAATATATTGAACTTCTGTGGTACAGATGATCTAGATAATACATGCAACTTGTTTCAGGTGAGCAATCGGGATGCTCTGATTTGTCCGAACACTCGCGAAATGCAGACCATATTGACACAATCAAATAACTGGTATGCTTTTAGGATTTATCACAATAGGTTTCAATCTGTCTTTCAAATAGTTGCCAATATTTATTTTCTATCCATGGATCAAGTTTCACTAAGAACATTATCTAAAGAGAAAATATTTTGAAAATTTGGACATATATAAATAATGATATTGAAATTAAAGATTGGATCAAGTATAATCTATATCATAGATTTGTAGATTTGTTTCGTTAATTGAACCATGTCTTAAAACATATTTATCTGTATGTGTGTAATGTTTGATATCTCACGTCTAACGTCAGAATGCGTAGCTTATATTACATGTCGTTTAAACGATACATCTTACACTATGCAGCTTGAAGTATGCATGTGATTTTTGGAGAAGTTTTACATAACCATTTGAAATTTGTAGAGCGTTTGTTTTATATCATTTATTTTATTACGGGTAATACTATGAATATTTAATATATACATTTTGTTGATAAGTTACATCTAAGGAAATTTTAATACTTAATATTAACAAGTTCAGACATTGCATTTTATAACACCAATCATGATACATGTTATTACGACTAATGTTTCAAATAGAACTTTTGATCCGTCATAGAGATGCTATGGATAAATGCATACATGTTTTGTGTAAGAATATTTTTTGACAAAAATAATCTTTAATTAGAGTATATCAATGACAATCGCTTTACCAAGACGTTATAAAACTATTCCAATACATTATATACAGTCAGTTGTTACCACATTATTGCTTGATTAAGTATATTTTAGAAGTATAATATCTGTTCCGTTTAAGTTTTCTGATAAAAAGAATTTTAATGATGTTGTTACACCTTATATCCACTTAGAAAACATGTGCTTGTAAAATACAGTCAAACATCATCCAGATACAATGAGAAAATAATTCACTAATATCACACTGTTCCTTTTTGTACCATATGGTGTCCTTTATTATATCATGAACTAGTTATTAATTTGGTGTATGGCTTTATGACTCGACGGTAATTTTCCAGGTAATACTTTCACTTGCTTATTTCTAATATATCACCCCTAAAATATATTTTTGTATAATTTAATTTCAGTTTTATCAATTTTAATGTATAAAGACAGTAGATAGTCTAATAAATCTAAAATTATGAAATTACTGAACAAGTTAATCATAGGTCATGCATTTAGATTAACTATTGAACGATAAAGGTGACTATTACTTTGTTTTACTTCAGTCTTAATTGTGACGCAGAATGTTGCTGATGACTACGATGAATACCTTAAACCGATGGCACAGGGTACATTCCTGGTTACTGCAGCATTGGCAGGGACATTTCTCTACGGTAGCAGAATGTCAAAGCGTAACATGGTGGACAGTTATCTAACGGCGCATCTGGACGATTAACCGGCAATTATCGCTATAATTACAACGGTGTGGTTATTTCTATGATGAATGCAGCAATTTACAGGATATTCCCACTGAAAGGTCACTACTGTTATTACCACAGCCTCCTTATACAGGACAGATGGATGTATGGGGTTTAGTTGTCGCAATGGTGATAAAAATACTATTGCAATACAGCTTTGTATTATTTCCATTTTTATTGTTTGTATATTGAACACAAAATTAATTTATGAAATATAAAAGAAATGGTTTGATTTGTTTTCGATATTTTTGAAATAAATGAGATGTATCTTATATCCCTGTTTTGCACGCAATGGCGACATGTGGGACATCAATGTTGTACTTTCGCCTGCTTTGATTCTCTGTTGTAACATTCATTAAGGACACTCATGTAACATAGAGGGACACGCATCATTGGAAACAGAAAGTGGATAAATATTTTAAAGCACAATTAAATTATGTCGTTTTGTGTTACCTTTTTGTAATCGGTACAATAGTTCGTTCGTTATCATACAACTGTAGTGTTATCTTTAGAAATTTACAAAGAAAACAATAAATCTTCGAAAATAACAGCATGGCTTGTGTTTTATGATTTACAACCAAAAATATCTATTCAGTTTAGTTGTAACTACTTTTAGATTACCTATAACAAACAAAAGTTAACCTGAACTTATTTTTTTGCAAAATAAAATCCATTAGTTTTTTATTCATATAACTAACAAAGTACAACTGTCATACAGCCACATGTAGTAGAAAGGAAAACAAATATGTGGTCTAAATTTAAAAACAATTGTTGTGAGGATTTTAACAAGGAGTGAAAGTTTTGCTTATCAGGGCTGCTGCAGAATTTGTATATTAACTTTAACTGACAGTAACTAAATCTGCGTCATCAGATGCTTGGTTGACTAGCCATAAAAAAGGAAGAACGCAAACGTTGGAATGACTTGAATTGTTTACAAGTTGTACAAATTGCCATGCTTCCAAAATGTCCTCATGAGCAAATTAAAATTAGTAAAGAATCATTATTATCGCATTAACTTTATTGTATTATTTTCCGTTTCCCCATAACATATGTACCTTTGATTTTACTTATCAACATTTAGTGGGAAACTAATGTATTGAATTATGATACAAATATAACATCTAACTTGATATTACATATGTTAATGACATAGGTGTTGGTTCACGTGTGAGAGGTCAGAATGATCTTGATCTAATTTAATCAAATAATTATGTTCATACAAACCTAGTTTTAGAAGGATGCAGTCATTAACTGTCAATATGGGTTTGATAATTTTGCTGTAATGACTTAGATATTTGAATATTTGATATTATTCATTTTATCAAATGAACATTGACAATGCATGAAAGGTTTGAAAAATAATTTCATTCTAGATTTACATCTAGACACGGGGCAATCACGAGGCTAGCTGCTTAATGATGTTACATGGACATAGACTGGGTATGGTGTTCTCACTGACCAGTATAAGATACACACGAGTGACTTTACGGTTTAATTGACGTTATATTTGGACAATATCAAGACACCCGAACTAAGCTATTGTCGCTGACATTGGTGATAAACATTTGATCAATACTTCTGACGCGTACATTTGTCACTGTCGGTAGTGAATGTGGAGGGGGTAGTACAACGATAAGGGAGGTCGGTGTCATCAGGTCGAGGGTTAGGCTAGGGCATTTTGATACATTAAGATGGGTTTGTTCTTGAAAGAGGATATGCTGTGTGACGAGGGAAGGGACACCCATCGACCAAGTTCCAGAGTTGAAGAAATATCAAAACCGTTTTTCAAACAAAGGATTTTCATGAATACGTTATGAACAAGCATAGAGTCATGCCGTGCAGTGTTTCAGGATGTGCACGTGCCTGAAGGGTAGGGTGTTGTCGAATTTCATCACGTGTTCAGGCTCAGGTAAACAATATCAGCCGTCCCCACCCCAACCGCAGTCGATTTACAAAGCAGTTCTATAACAAAATCATGATGTTTTCGACATTATAAAATTGAGGCACATTGAGGGTAGGGTATTTAAATAGAACAAATATAATATGTATTTGTCAAAAAAACATTAAACGAATAGAAATGTACTCAAGTCATAAAAAATTAATTGCTGCGTAGCAAAGTTAAAATTGAAAATATTAAAATATCGTTTTAAGGTGAGACTTTAAAAGATTTATCGTTTGTTACATAAAAGACGTGTAATGGTGTCGTTTATGCATGGAAAGAGGAAAACAAAAGATGTGCCGGGATTCTGAAGCCACTAAGACGTGAGTTCCTGGCCTGGAACAGTAAACAAAGTCTAGAGCTCACCGTTGCTAGCAAACCATACCTGGTGACCTCAAAGCAAAAACCCCGCTTCAAAACATTTGAATATACACAAATTTTATGACTTGGAAAAAGCCACATTGATCCCTTCTGTGAAATTTGAGATAAAATGCATCTGTTTCGTGGGAAAAGTTAAAACCGAAGGCGGTTAAACCAGGTAAAGAGAAGGACTGTGTTGGGTTAGATTGCTCCAGCACTTCCCCTCCACACATCTGCCTGCAACCGACGCTCGGGTACTGTTACAGCCCGATATTGTCACTGCACCAGTCCTTCCTTCGTTTACATCGTAAAATCACGAGCAACAGGGGCCTGGTCGCTGCACTTCCACACACCATAATGCCGTTACTCTGCTCACGCTGGATATACGTGTAACGTGAGGACTCCTATAACAAACGGACGACTCAAACGTCTTTTAAAAAGTTGAGTTTTTGGGTTGTTATGAAAGCATTATATTCAAAATAGGATATTTTCTTCTCGACCTCGGAATTGTCTTCTTTTGTATTAAAATATTTCAATACAACAATCTGTTATTGCTAACATATCATTTATCACAGTTGTTATTTGTATCAATATTTGGAATTTTTGTTTTAATAATGGTTGCATAAATATGTTTTTAAACATAAATGTAATGTATAATATTCTTAAATTAAAAATGCCTTGTGTTCTAACTAATTAATTAAAGATTAAATTCATTATGATGATTTTAAAATATCAATATTTACTATCAGAACAAACGTAAATTGGCTTAATGGGATAAGTGGTATTTAGGATACCGCTTTATTTCTCACTTCTTTGTTAGATATCATCAAAGCGTGTATTAAATAGTCGTTATTCTATTTAAAACTGTATCAATTATTCAGGTGTACCCTAGTCATTATTTCATTTCAAAATTATAAATTATATTCGGTTTATGATTTCGATGACAGAGCTCTGGTGAACTATTTAAAGGACTTGATTAATATCTTATCAAAGTGTATGTACATTGGCACAGATTTAGGTATAGTTGTACGTTTGGTAGTATTATAATATAAAACATTTCATGTGAGTTAAATGATAACTATATACGATTATAACAATGCAGAATTAACAACCTGTTCAAAGAAAATTCTCCGCGTAATTTCCATGACATGTTATCTGTATAATTGTCTTGTTGTATATTCCGATTTATCTGACACATGCAATAACACTGAGTTGTTTGTTTATTATATTTAATAACTGAATAAACTTGTAAACTTAAAAGCGCTACAATCGGTTTACAGAGTCAATCAATGATGTGTATATTCTCAACATTCTTTTCACGATAAAAAAAGTAATCGTGTTGAACGTTCTTGCAATATTGTTCAATACGTGTCCTTTGAAAGGCTGGCAAGCAGTTACAATACTACCTTGATTTGATACCATACAAATTGCCTGTCTCTAAGCATTCATTGTGGGCGTCGAAGTGGGAATCGGTATAAGTAAATAGCTTGAATGATTTCTTATATTTTGTTGTGTATAACCAGGTGAATGTTATGTGAATTTAGCACAAGGAAATATTTATTAATAAAACCGTACAATAGCTCATGTTAAAATCTAAACAACATTTCTGGGAGTACACACATGGATGTTGACATAACGAAAAAGGGCGAGACTACACTCTGAGGATCCTCGATTGTAAAGAGAATGAAATAACGAAAATTCTTTTCATTATTCATCTGAACACTAACTTGTGAGCAACGTCGTAAGATTCGAGTCTCTGAAATGTAAAGAAAGTTTTTGATATAAATCAATCAGAGTGTAGTGGAAGTGTACATAGGACCGCCATGTCGATGAGGTAGTATCTAATGAAATTCGGTTTGTTTCGATTACCGTTAGCATTAAAAACCATTATAGATAAAGGTGTAATATCGACTGTACAAATATATACATTTCAGTTAATATGTACTTTTTGAATTTGATTTTTTTATGTAGCATGATAAATGGGAAAAAGACTCTAACCTATATTTATAAAGTTATGTCTTCCCATGATATTTTATAAAGATTTTCCAGAGGATGGAATCAAAATTGATCCTTATTATAACAACAGTCCTATGTAGTAAGATTTCTAGGTAGTCCGTATATGTTTGTGGTACATGATGTGCTTCGTCATTATGTTTACTATTTCATTGTTACTCGGGAATGTCTATTACGTCATGTGTGACTGGTTGATTTCGATACCTTTAAACCCCGGACAGCTGTGTATTGACAGCTTGACAACGTTGACCTGGTTAACATTGGATAGTATATATAAATAACATGATTTTAAGCATAGCATCACATGCCATCATCATGTTTATATCAATAACATATTCTAAAGGCAACTTGTTTTCGTCGTTTTAACTAATATAACGTATTGAAGAAAAAGACCTGCTCTACATTTCCTCTCGGTCGTGTTTAAAAGATAAAAGTCAATAATGTATCATCTACATTTTCTATTGTAAGATAACAATAAACGTATCATAATCACAATTTGCTATTATAAAATGACATTTAGCTTAGATTTCCCCTGTAAAAAATATAAAGATTTTTAAGAGAAACAAATATATTCCTAGGGTCAATTTTTACATTAACAGAATGGCGTTCAAATATGTCAAAGCAAATATTAGCAAATTGATATCTAACATTAATTGAAACAAGACTTTAGAGTCAATATATTCGCTCATTTAGTTTTGTTCTGTAAAAAAATGCAACTCTATTAATAAAGAGTAAGTCCTTAGGTAAACCTTCTCCTCCGCCTTTGATAAAGCATAGACAAAAGAATAAGCACATAGTAACCATTCGAAATGTTAGATTTACAAACGAAGTATAAAATATTTTGTGGTACATGCCTCAACAATGAAAACAATTAAGATGATACTGATCAAATGTATGTAAAGTTTGTCAAATATATGCAAAAAAAATATATAATCACAAAAACATATACAGACAAATACAAGCACAAATATACATGGAAAAAAATGAAACAATACATTCACACAAAAATATAAAGCAAGAATTAAAATACAAATATTTACACACAAATACAAGCACACAAATATAAGGGGAAAACATTATGAAGGAAACACAAATACAACCTCACAACTATAACACAGACGTTTTAAATTAACATCGTATTTAATTCTACCAGTATATTTATATGTTTTTTTCCTTTGAAGTCTTAAATCCTTTTATCTCATTTTAACAGG